ACACGAGATAACTTCAATCATACAAATCACAAATATTTTTATGCTATCTAAGTACAATCATATTTTTTTCATAATGAAAAAAATAATTGTAAAGAAAAACCATTAAAATAGTAAATAAAACGATTAAATAATTATGAGTGGGTTTTGACCAAATCTCCGAAAAGGCATGGGGATTGGGAGAAATTAATATGTAACGCCCTCAAAAAATAAACCCATTAAATATATATACAATCAACATGCAATGTTTAAAAGGAAACGATTTATTATAACATTCATCAGAGTCTTACTAAATAAAAGCATTACATGTAACATCAAATTAAATGCCCTACAGGCTTACATCTTTCCAAGCCAACACTGGGACACAAAAGTATGAGTTCTAACTCAAATACAAATAAAGCCCTAGGCTTGAGTGTTTACATGTACTAACAAATAAAAACAAATAACTGGAAATAGTCTTCAAAATCCAAGTCCTTCCAAGCTAAGTTCTTGGAGGTAGCTTATCACCTGAACCTGAAAAATGATGTTCCCATATAGGGTGAGCCACAGCCCAGTAGAAATATACTAAACCAAATATAAGCAATGAATAAAGCGATAGCATTCAATAGATGATTAACCTAGATAATCAATTATATCATTAAACTGTCTCATGACTCTAATGTCTAAGACACGTTTTACTTTCCAACATTATCAATATGGCTCAGAACCTGGCCAAACTTATAACAGTGAACTATATATATTATATTCACATTCTTCCAATGTCAACAAACAAATGAGACTCAAGCTCAAATCAAAACACTTCATACTTCCAGTTTGATACACATTTTAGTGCTGTATCAATAAAAACACTTCAATATAAATAAGCACACATAAAAGTGATGCTAATGGAGTCCATCCCCTATCTCCTCCCAAACAAAAATGCATATACAATGTATTAAACACTCGTCATATACAACACACAATACACATAACATATACAACACACAATCAATACACATAATGTCTGTATTAATTCAACAGTCAAAATTGATGACTTAATCAATGATTAATTTCAGTTATCCCTAATCCACATGCAGTGTCTACAACAATCACGGCTATCCTCCACCGATAGCCCAAAACAGTTATTTCTAGATTTGAAAATAAATAACTCAACAATTAAATGGACGAGTGATTTAAATTAACCAACTACCCCATTTAATCAATAAATTGCTCAACCTCATGAATTTAACTAGTTTCCCCAATGTACCTTAAATTAAATAGACAATTCAATTTATTTAAACAACTAGGGTTTTTCCCCAAAATTACCAAAATACCCCCAACCTATTAAAATGCCAGAACTTAGAACAAAACGTATACATTGGAGTAGGAAATCCCTATCTCGAAGAAAATAACCCGAATGGAGAAGACAGAGATGAAGACCCAAATTCCAATGTGCTTCAAATCACCAAACGTTCAGATTAAATGGAAGTTCTCGACTCACTCTATCTTTTTAATAAAGGATTTAAGGTAGAAACTCACTCTAAGTAGATCAATCCTAAGAGAGAAGGTGTGTAGAGGGAGAGAGAACTCGTACCTAGGGTTTTGGAATTTGAAAGTGGATCAAAAACTGATCTGAAACACACTACTGCGTATTTAAACTTGACAGGCTCGCTCGAGCGAAGACTTGGTCGCTCGAGCGACCAGACACACGAAAACCCCGCTCGAGCAAAGAAAAGCTCGCTCGAGCCAAAAACGCAGTGCTTCAGGTCTGCAACCCAGCAGCACGCTCGAGCGACAGAATTCTCGCTCGAGCGAAGAACTCGAAAACATACACCTCGCTCGCTCAAGCGAAGAAAATCTCGATCGAGCGAAGAAGCACTGCTCTCAGGTCTATACTAGACGCAATCGCTCGCTCGAGCGAAGCAAAGCTGGATCGAGCCAGAAGACACAAAATACAACCCTCGCTCGAGCGACCAAGCCCTGGCTCGAGCGACCAACCCAAAAACTGGACAGCAACACTTGGTTTATGAACCCAACCAACCTGAAACAAACCTGCCCAACACATCCTATAACTCCAAATGAGAAAATAAAGGACGACTACAACAATTACACAATGACAGAATAAACAGAACCTAAGTCCGGATACAATAATCAAATGGGAAAAGACCGGGGTCGCTATATAATAAATGCTGAGGTTTTTTTTTTTTAAATAAAAAAATTAGAAAATTAAGATTGAGATACTGGAGCTCCCACAAGACTTGTGGGTTAAAAACCCCATTTTGCTTAATATATAGTATAGATAGATAGATAGATATATAGATATATATAGATAGATAGATAGATGGATATATAGATATAGATGTAGATAATATAATATAGATAGATAGATGTGTTAAAATTTTCAAGGAATTTTCTTTATGCGGGTCTTTAATGCATTAAAGTTTAATTATGAGGGAGTTTTGACCAAATCTCCCAAAAGCATAGGGATTGGAAGAAATTAATAAATGCTGAGTTTTTTTTTTTTTTAAATCAAAAAATTAGAAAATTAGGATTGAGATATTGGAGTTCCCACAAGACTTGTGGGTTAAAAACTCTATTTTATTTAATATATAGATAGATAGATATAGATATAGATATGGATAGGAATAGGAATTGAAGATTTTGAAGGATTCTGGTTTGATGCAATTTTCCAATCTGCTTTTGTTTTCATTTTCCTCAAAGTCTTCAACATAATGATTTCTGATGCTTTGTATTCATTAAAGCAAAATTTAAGCCTGCTTTTTGTATTCATTGTGCCTCAATTTTCAAGGTGACATTGGACCTAAAACTTAAAAGAATAACAAATTCAACTTAAATATGATAATTAGTCTATCAACTATTGGGATAAAGAAAATGGAACATAAGCCATAATAGTATGTAGGACACCGATATTAGCTCGACTCCAACAATAAATGACAAGCACAATGTGAAACAATACACATTGTCCTCTTTATTTTTATTTTTTATTTTTATTTTCCTAACGTAGATGATGATGATGATGATAATAATGCAAGTTTGTTGTGGACTTGGACTTTTTTGGAGCTCGTTCACATTGGGATCTTTCTATTCTAGATGATAGCTATGTGCCTTCAAATAGAGGTACAGCTTGGTCCGTTCGATTTGGTTGAGGAGTTGCATAAATTCAGTTTAAGTTGTAGTGAAAGTTACTTAGAAAATTTATTTGTCCAAGTTCGAATGAATTGAACTTGGATTATGCCTGCTTAAATTACGCACAAATTTAATTTTTATTTTTTGTATAACTAGGCTAATCAATTTGCTAAAGGTAAACTCTATTAATTTCTTTTTTTTTTTGGTAAAAATATTACTAACATCAAAACAATTAATTTATATAATGAGAGAAATAGAGAAGAGACAATCTAACAGCTAATAATTTATATATATTTTTAATGTGAAACTTTCAAATTGTTCGAATTTCTCGTTTTTATTCAAACTCGACTCAAACTTAATTTAAACTTTTAAATTTGTCAAATTTAAAAATATATTGTCAGAATTCTAAACAATTTCAAGCCCAGCTCAAATTACTGAATTCAATTCTCTCAAATTGCACCCCTAACCTTAAATGATATGTAAAACATAATTAAACCACTAATTTTACACTAAACATTCAAAATTGTCAATATGTAGTTCACTATCACCAAGTGTTTTTTTATAGTGTTTGACTCAGTCAATTAGCCCACCATGCTTGTCGTTCTTTCTGTAGTGATATTATCATATTTTTCCTTTTAAATTTCATCCAACATTATTTTCCCTATTTTTTTAGAGTTAATTACAATTTTGGTTATCAAAATATGTAATTTATGTTATTTTAATCCCAATATTTAAATTACGTCAATTTAATCTCTAACTTACCGAAAACATTTCAATCTGGTCTTCCAACCTAATTCCATCACCATTAAAGTTGAGAATAAAATTACTTATACTTTTAATCTCAAAAATATGCAATGTGTCTTTTGGTTCCCAATTTTTATACGTTAGAGACAAAATTGACATAATTTAAATATTAAGGACCATAATAACATTCATTGCATATTTGTTAGACTAAAAATGTATTTTTATTTTTATTTTTTTTAATGAGTTTTCATATTTACCTTTGGTTTTAATGACATGTACTGACGAAATTAAAGTTAGAGAATATTGAAATACTTTTTATACATTAAATTGTCACAATTTAATTAACTTTTTTGTTTATTTATCATTGTGTCTCTTAGGCAAATTATCATTAAGAACAAAAATACAACTCCTCCTTTCAACCCACCACGATCAGCTGCCACCTCCTTCCAACCTCACCCCCGCCAACCCCCATCATCGCGATCACCTTTCTCAGCCCCACTATCACCATCCCATCCCCCCTCCCCAACCCCCACTACAGTGAAACTCCTAATCAAGAGAAAGAAAGAAGACGGAATTGGGGGATGGGTTGGGGCGGCACTAATGGAGGTGGTGGAAATGAGTTAGAGTTGGGGTTTGAAGATTGACGATGAAGGCAATATAAGAATACAGTGGTGTGAATTGAATTAAAATAAAAAATCAAATTTGTGTGGTGTGGTGTGCATGTTAAACATCTAATTTAAAGCCAAAAATGCCCTTGGACCTTTGATTTCGATAATTTTTTTTGTTCTTCTGTCAATTAGTATTACCCTGTCAAATCTTGGTGCTTAATCATTTGCCTTGAAAGTGAAAGAATGCCCTTAGACCTTTGATTTTGATCCTTTGCTCTTATCAAATGAAAGTTACATCCATTAAATTATTGTTGAGAAGCATTGTCCCTATTTTCAAATTTCTTGACCACACAGATCAATCAAAGATTGCAAAAACTGTGGGGCCACTATCTTGTGATAGAGATTCTCATCAGTTCACAACTTTATTCAAATCAATTTGTAATTATTAAAATTTCGAACTTTCTGAGGCTGCAAAAAAAAAAACCAGAGAAATAATTCAAAAAAAAAAAAAAAAAAAGTGAGAGAAAAAGAAACAGTTGATTGCTGATATACAATACTGTAACAAAGCAAAACAAAGTTTACAACAGTTGATGCTGATCATTGAGTTGAATTTATTAGTTTATAGATAAAATTAACCTAATACACTAAATCCAGAAAAACATTTTCTTTGTCTGCACTATGTTCTGCTTCAGTTGGCTTGAAGTATTCTTCCATGGTTTTCTTCCTCAATAACTGTAAATTAGAATAGAAAATCTCATGAGGTAATGTGTTATCAAATGTTTAAACATTAAGGTTGTGTTTGAATCTTGAATTTGTAGTGAGATTTGTGCATTTTTTTCTTTTTCTTGCACAAATTCAAGATCCAAATACAACTCAAAAAAATCTATTTTACAGTGTAGGATTCATGGCAGCATCTTGCACGTAAAATAAATCTTCTTAAGTTGGAGGACATGATCTGGTCATCTCTACTTTTGGGCTCTATTGGATTTGAAGTACATTGATCAATTATGCCATGATCGCCTTGCCACCATTTTATTTTTCACACACAAATTTAAGATCTAAATACAACCTAAAAATATCTATTTTACAGTGCAAGACGCATATCTAATTTACAGTGTATGATCTGATCGTCTTGCACTGTAAAATTGATCTTCTTAGATTGGAGATGATCCAGACATCTCTACCACATCCTGCACTATAAAATAAATCTCTTTGGCTGGAGGTGATTCAGGCATCTTTACTTTTAACCTCTACTGTGTTTCTCTAAAATGTTTGCAATTTGAAGATAATTGCCGTTATAATGAATAATGGTCCCTCATCACTACATAACAAATTTGGTAATTTTAACAAATTGTATGATAAGGTTTTAGAAGGAAATAAAATTATTGCAAATCTGTCCTTACTAATGCAAGATTTAATTAATTTGTATGCATTGCTTCATAAATTTTGTTGGAGGGTAAAAGTCCAAATCCAGCCCAATAAAACATGTGGACCCAAATAAGATGGGTAAACCCAAACTAATAAAGCCTAACATAATGGGAGCCTATCAGTATCAAACAAAATCTGATTCAAAGCATAGAATAAACTAAACACCTCATTCTTCACTAGCAGTTTTGTTATTTTCCTCCAATTGATATTCAAATTCTAAAACCTAACAAACAAAAAATAGAAAAAATAAAAATTTACCCGGTTGTGCATTGGTAGAAACAGGAATGGATGATGTTAAATTTGCAGCTCTGACCGTCGATTGGGAGGACTCTTCGTTGCGAAGCAACAAATTCATTGCCCCTTTCACCTTCTCTACCACGCCCAATTCACCCCTAGTTTTTCTAGGACTAATTGCATCAGTTATTGCCTGTGAAAGTGCTCTGTCATCTTCTCCAGGCTCAAGCTTCTGCATCAAGTACTCCTTCACCGAAACACCTTTATCCCACATTTGTAGGCCGCCACCTGTCACGGTCTCTCTAGTCTCCGAAACTCTCCCAAGATTCTGTATTCCACTACTACCGGGGCACACCCCCACGGTGCCTGTTTCATTCGTGGTTGAAACAGTCAGGCCTGCGATTTTTGAAGCAATCGTGTGAGTTGCGTCGGCTACAGTATTGTATGCCGGTGTGAGTTTCTCAGTCATGGTTTCAGTGATTGTCTTGTTAGTTGGACTAATTGGCTTCTCTTTCTCTTTCACTTTTTCTTTTTCTTTTGCTTGTTCTTGTTCTTGTTCTTTTGCTTGTTCTTTTACATTTTCATTTTCATTTTCTTTTTGTTTTTCTTGTTCAACTTCAACTGCAACTTCAACTTCAACTTCAACTTCATTTTTTGTGGTGCTTGTCAAAATATGTTTTCCAGAAACAACAGGGTCTGCTCGCGGATGCTGCCTCGCCTTCTCTTTGTAAGTCTCTGGTGCTAGCTCTGATTCATACACTGAAAATAAAAATAAGGGATGAATTTGAAACCACATTGGAAGAAAATTCAAGGAAACTCATAGCCTGAACCACTTTGGCCTAAAATTATTTATCATGATACTCACTCCCGACCTTCAAATAATTAATTTCATTATCTTAACAATAAGCTACGGCCTATATATATAGTATATAGCCAAATAATTTGGTCATATTTATTTATTTATTTTAAATAAAAAGAAAAAAGGAGATCGCATATTTCAAAATTATATTTGTCATTTAGTTTTTTTTAAAGACTAATGTCATAAATTCATGTGAGACTTATAGTAAGCTTACATACCGAAACTGTAAAAGCTTGACCTTTGTTCAAATCATCTGGCAGTCCTAATACAATGTAAAAACTCATGAATATGGCTTTTAATCATGTCAATAATACAAACACACACAGCTTGTCTCCAATTCAATACTTGGACCAGACGGTTTAGTTTAGACCACCTTATTCCTATTATTAGAACTACTTATTTTATAATTATGTGTGCAGTTTATTTTTTTTGAAAGATAAATGTGATAAAATTATGTGGTTGCAATTATCTAATCAATTTGGTTTTTCTTTTATAGATGATCTAAATGCAAAATAATAATAATAATATTAATTAATTAAAAATAAATGATTCATGTAATCAGACTTGTAGAAGGCCCATGAGCCCAGACTGAATGGTTCAATTCATAACTTAGACTATACACAAACAATCTAACTCACCAAACTAAAATAGATCAAATGGTTTGATTGTAATATGGATTAGAATGGAAATTACTTGGGGCACCAAGATATTCCGGATCTTCATCATCTTCATCGTCATCCAAGGAAACACCCCAGGAGGGGGTGGAGTTGCCTTCATGGCCGTCGTGCTTCTTCTTGCTGAGACTCTGTCGCAATTTCTTAGCTTTTTCTTTGACTTTCATGAGAACAGACTTCTTGTTATTGTTGTTGTTGAGGTTCATGTTGTTGTTATGGAGAATGTGGGGGGAATAGCTGGGGGAGTAATATTCTTCATGATCATGGTCCCTTCCTAGTATTGGAGATGAACATGATGGCCACCTTGTTGTGTCCCCTGTTATGAAAATTTCTTATATTAGTATGGACAATGTCTTTTTTGGTGCATGTACCACAAATGCATAAACTGATCACTGAATCGGATACAACTCTCTCACATGAGATAAATCTCATTTTTTTCACAAGTCTCATACCATGTGAGAAGGTTACGTCTGATTTGTGATTTATTTGTGTAAATAAAAAGAAAGTGACATAATGTTTGTGATTGAGGCTTGGTTTCAGCAACATTTTTTTTTTCATAATATTTTGCCTATTTTTAATTTTTCAAGGGCCTAGAACCCTCAAAAGGATTTGTTGTTAATATCTCTAGTTTTTTAGAGGGAGTTTGGAGTTTGATATTAAATGTTTGATATTGTTAACCTAACTTACTAACTTGCTAAGGTCTTATGGAGTGAAAAAAAATTAACAAAATTGCTAAAATTTATATATGTAAGGAATTTAATTTTAAGGAGTACCAAAAAAAATTTTAAAAAATGATTTTTTTTTCAAGTCTTACTACAACCACATATTTTTTTTGACAACATTTTTTTACCATTTACTTACAACAAGATTGCACACTTCCGTTATAAGTAGGCAGTAAGAATTGTAACAAAAAAATGTGTGGCTACAATCTTGCTTTTTTCTTTTTTCTTTTTTCTTTTTCTTTTTTTTTTTAAATCATTAAAAAGTCTTCTTAAAATCTTCAAAATGAGCAATCTCATCCTAATTGTAATTAAATCTAAATTTACATAAAACAAAACCGTAATTAAATTAATGCATATTTTTGCGCTACACCCTTATGAATTATCACATTGCTCTTTTTTTTTCTTGATAAGTACACAGGACTTGCCTTGGAGAAGTTGTTCAAAAGTTGGGGAGGTACGAGCTTTGGGAGTTTTAGAAGTCGCTCCAATATTGATCCTTCCCATCCCATCTGGTAAAGCCATTGCTTCCAAAATTTATTAAAAATCTACAAAATAATATTTGTTTCGAATCGATTTCTTGCCCTGAGCATATGATCTCTCTCTATCTAGTCTCTCTATGTGTATAGATATGATGTGTTTATTTTCTTAAAATGGTAAGTATCGATTATCATCATCATCAATCATTTGGAGGGAAATTTAAAAGGAAAAGCAACGATGTTGGTGCATTAGTTTTCGGGGTTGTTGTGTGGACAGTATTCCCATGCCGGAGATGAAAAGCTTGTGGGCACTTGTTTACATGTGGATAAAAAGAGAGAGAGATACACCAACCATCAAACCAACCAACCAACCAATCAATCAACTAACCAAACAAACAAACAAAAAGTGTCTTGGTCATTCTCTTACCAATGGTTCTCTACTCTATAAATAGCAAGTTATGACTGGGCTTTGAATCAACAACTGTTTTCTTAAGGCCTCCATTCCTCCTAGCTACATGCATGGAGCCCATATCCATCAAGAAGAAGAATGGGAGTGCTATATCTATTTGGTTTCATTTCTACTTTTGTTTTTCCTTTTCAAAAAATAAAAAGTAGTTTGATGAAAATAAATATAAAATAAATTCAAAAAAAAGAAAAGAAGATAAAGATAAAATTATATGAAAATGATGAGTTTTGATTTATTTATTTTCATTTTATTCACTAAGGTTTTAGTTTTTTTGAAAAAAATAAAAAGTATAATTTGAAAATCAAACCAAACAGTTTGTGCGCTTTTGTGCTAAGTGTAATAAATCTGATTTAGGTCAGATTGGATTTAAAAAATTACTTCGTGTGTTATAGTAGGTCTGACCTAAATTATTCTATTCATCCCTAATTATGGGTCACACTTTTCCGACCTCTATATTTTTTTGTCTAATGTGGTGTCATATTTATACCTTGACTAAGTATTGTTGCTCTAATCCTACTCTAGTAGTGATAGTGGTGATTAATATGCAATTTAAGAGGGTAAAGTGTTATTTAATATATATACATGTATATTTGGTTCTACTAATAATAATTCTAAGAGCTAATACAAAATATTAAAATATTTATAAATCTCAATTCAACTTTCCACATATTTCAAAACACTTCTATACTTTTTACTCATCTTTCTAATACAATTATAAAACCTAATTTTAGCATTTTTCTATATTTTTAGTCAACCACTAGGAGGGAAGTAAGAGGAAGGGGGAGTTGCTAAGCTTTGAACCTTGGACTTCAGAAGAAGGGTTGCTAAACTTACACGGTCCTTGTCATTCAATAATAATCAAGGAGAATACAATGGTCCTGCAATGCAAACAACCCCATTAACAAGGTTTCTCAAGACATAACAAATTTAAAAACAAAAAAACAAAATTTCAATTGTTTGGCAAAGTCATTTTCTTGCCATTGACAAGTGGCCTAAGGCACAACAAAGTTTGGTGAAGTTACTTTTTGCTATATCAATTTTTTTGTTAAAAATTTAACTATTTTTCTCTATTGAGTTGATTATTTTCACAAACAGAAATTCACAACTAAAATTTTAAAAACTACATAATTTTTTATAAATTAAAAAACTGAAAATTATCAAAAATTATAGTTACAAAATTTAAATTATACTAATAATCATAATTTATCCATCTTTGAAAAACAAGAATTTCATAAATAAAAAATTTGATACTTGTTTAGATCATCGAGAGAGAAAAGATTTGATTGATCCAGAATAAAGTATGTAAAAATTAATTAGATAATAGGAATATGGGATTTGATTGTACAAAAATGACAAATCAAACTTAAAGTAGCATACTCAAAATACTATATTGTAGCTAAAAAAATAATTTTGGCTTCCAGAATTATGTCAGTCAACTTGTTATTTATTTGGACAGTTAGGCCAACAGTCTAAATTTAAAATTTTTGAACAACTATCTTAAATTCTATTCTTTTTTATTTACAAGAACAATTTGAAAGATTATATTCTTCCTTAATCATGTTTTTGTGGTTAATCGCAACAATGGAGAGTGATTGGCAGTAATTTGAGAATAGAGAGAAAGTAGAAATAGGAAATTCACAAAGACAAAAATAATAATTAAAAAATGTATAAAACAATAATAAGTTAATAACCATCACTGTGTAAAAAAAAGCAAAAAGCAGAAAAAACAAAGAAAAGAAAAGAAAGAAAAGTGCATCAAAACTGAAAATCCAGAAAAAAAAAATAGTCCGAATTTTACAAACTCATGAACATATTTTAAGAGAGAAATAAACAATTCTATTATGAGTCAAAAGTACACCTTTTCTTTTCTTTTCTTTTCTTTTCTTTTTTTTGATAACTCCGGCAATCTATTATTATAATAACTAATTTAAATTTATGTAAACAGAAAATATTACATTTTGTGCGGAAAAATAAGAAAAACAAATGGAGAGAGATTGACAATGAATTTCAAATAGTTAGGGAAAAAAAACACAAAAAAAAAAAAAAAAACACACACACACACACACGAAAAAAAGGAAAGAGAAGAAGGTTCTAAGAAAGTGTTAAAATTTTCTTGAACATAAAGTTTATTTTTGATCAAGCGAATTCTACTATCAACCTTGATTTCAAAAATTTAGGGAAAAAAAACAAAAAAAAAAAAAAAAAAACACACACACACATGAAAAAAAGGAAAGAGAAGAAGGTTCTAAGAAAGTGTTAAAATTTTCTTGAACATAAAGTTTATTTTTGATCAAGCGAATCTAACTATCAACCTTATAGATAAATTGAGTAAATCTTATTACAAAATTTCACTACAACCCTGTTTGATGGAGTTTTTTTTAAGCAAAAAAATTTACAAAGTAAAAGCTAAAAGTATTATTTTTCAAACTTTCAAATAATTAATTTTTTTTTTCAGTTTATTTAAGTTATTTCTAACTAATAAGTTATAAATAAAAGTTATATTAAACAATCTAATACAAATTTTCAAACTAAAATAAGTTATAATCACCTTGTTTGGTTCCAATTTTTTAAAAATTGAATTTTTTGTTTTCATATTTTTTTGTTTTTAGTAATTTTTTTTAATATTTTAAGCAATTTTTTACTTTTTAAATGTACATAACCTGGATGTATCTAAAAAATAAAAATATTTATAAAAAAATATTTTAAAAAATAAATAAATATATAAAAAAACAAAAATGTACTGAATTTATATATATATTTTTAGTATTTAGTGAATTATTTTTAAAAAAAAATCACAAATATTATATTTTTTAATTGTGTTTTTATTAAGTGTATTTAAAAAATAAAAAATATACTTATAATATTAAAAAAATTACTAAAAATAAAAAAACACAAAGAAATAAAATACATTTAATTTTTTAAAAATTAAATTCAAAAAATCAGAATCATTTCCTAAAAATTGTAACAAAACAACTGTGTATATTGCTCATCGGGAAAAATCAAGTTAAACGTTGTAAACTTCGCCCAAGACACGCAGAACGGCCTCTATGAGGACAGGTTCAACAATAACAAGGCTCGAAAGCTTTGTAGCTCGGTAACCTCAGTGAGTCTGCGTGACATCACAACATACATGTCCCCACATGCCTGTTTGGAATTGATTTTTTTATTTATTAAAATAGTCAATAAAAATAAAATTGTATGGGGATAAAATATCCGTCGCCTTTTGTACACCTTGCTGCCAATCTCGCCTCATTCAGAAAATATTCTAATTCATTGTAAACAAAATAAAAGTGAGCTACCCGACGAGTGGTGTGCCAAAAACCCCTCCGACAGTTAAGTCAGCTTTCTTGGAGAAAAAGCAGAGAGAGAGAGAATTGTAAGAACAACAATGCTAGGTGGCTCGAAAATTCATGACTCAAATGACTCGAAACACCTAAAACGACGTTGTTTTGGATATAGAACGACGTTGTTTTGTGTGTAAAACGACATCATTTTGACATATTCAAGTCATTCGGACCATACAAATTTGGGCCACCAAACATTTTTCTTATAAGAAAATAGCATACCTCTGCCTGCCTCTGTGCGCTCCCCTTTATTAAAACTGACCATGCAGTCCCAGATTGTGCGCGCACTACCTTTGTTGTCCTTTCTCAGACGCATGGCTGCAATGCCCTCTCTTTTCTCTACACGTGTACGTGTCAATACTGTCAAACAACAATGGCCAAATCGCCAAGTGGTATTGACGCGTCCTCAGAACAGATTCACTTTCTCATACCATTGGACCACGTGGAGACTCTCAACCGAGCAATCACTTGTGGCCCCCAGCATGTTAGCTCAAAAATCCACTTTGTGCTGAACTAAGCCAGGCCGGTCACCTGGCTGGTTATGCTCTCACTCGGCGCTGCAGGGTCACAATCATCATGTGTTGGTTTAGCTCGGTCAACACAACGCCTCCTATCAATTTAGTTCGACCCAACGCCAGATCCAACATCAATTTGGATCAGCTCGAGATCCTTTCTTGACTCATTATTCGGCATAAATCCCTCTCTCAAAAATAAATTAAAATAAAATAGTCAATAAAATAAAATATCATATTCAAATCATAATCATTTCATTTTTTTTTCTCACAACTATCAAATCAGCTACCAAAAAAAAAAAAAAAAAAACAACTATTGTCCATCATCCTAAGGGTTCGTTTGGGATGTAGGTTGGCTTTTTAACTTTTTGGCTATTTTAACCTGAGGCTAAAAAGCCTCGTTTAGAATAAGTTTTTTGAATTTTTTGACTTTTGTGAGAGAAAAAATAAAATAATTATGTCTTATTGGGGTAAAATGTTTATTTTATTTTTTTGTGACTATTTTAACTAAAAAAATATTATTTTAACTTATGTCAAACGAAAACTAAACAGAATTTTTTAATCAAAATAAAATAATAAATAAATAAATAAATAAAAAGTGATGAAGATCCCCTTTTTTCACGACACCCATACACATGTGAAAATTAGTGATTAAAAAAAACAAAATTGACCAACCACAAGACAGAGGGGGTCGCTGGGATGCCTCCTATGGTGTCCAAATCATTTTCCATTAAAAAAAAAAAAATTAATTAAAATATCCAAGCGAGCCACTCATGCATACACAGTAAACCCCCTCTTTATCGCTCTCCTCTTTCCTCACCTTTATCCCCCGAAAATCCCAATGGCCGCACCAGGCCTCAACCTCACTCCTTCTCTCCCCTCCCGCCCTAAATTATCCACCACCACCACCATTAAATGTGATCTCTCTTCTTCTCAAAACCCTAAACCCCTGAAATCCCCCCCTCTCAAACCCCTCCTCCTCTCCTCCCTCACCAAAACCCTAGCCTTCTCCGCCGCCTCCGGCCTCCTCTTCCACCTCACCTCTTCCTCCGCCCTCCTCGGAAACGGCCCCGGTGCTCCTCCCGGCGGCGGAGGCGGCGGAGGCGGAGGAGGAGACGGTGGCGGTGGATTCTGGTCGAGACTCTTCTCTCCATCAGCAATTGCAAAAGACGACGAATCGGAATCTCAAGAATGGGACTCTCACGGCTTGCCGGCCAACATTGTGGTTCAACTCAGCAAACTCAGTGGTTTCAAGAAATACAAAGTCTCCGAGATCTTATTCTTCGATCGCCGCCGCTGGACTACTGTTGGAACCGAAGACTCGTTCTTCGAAATGGTCTCGCTTCGCCCCGGAGGTATATACACCAAAACCCAGCTCCAGAAAGAGCTCGAAACCCTAGCCACTTGTGGGATGTTCGAAAAGGTCGATCTTGAAGGCAAGACCAATCCCGACGGGACCATCGGAGTTACAATTTCGTTCACGGAGAGTACTTGGCAATCGGCTGATAAGTTTCGGTGCATCAATGTGGGTTTAATGCCGCAATCAAAGCCGATCGAAATGGACCAAGATATGACCGAGAAGGAGAAATTGGAGTATTTGAGGAGTCAGGAGAAGGATTACAGGAGGAGAATTGACAGGGCTAGGCCTTGTTTGTTGCCAATGAGTGTGCATAGGGAGGTTTTGCAGATGTTGAGGGAGCAAGGGAAAGTGAGTGCTCGGTTGTTGCAGAAGATAAGGGATCATGTTCAGAAGTGGTACCATGATGAAGGGTATGCCTGCGCTCAGGTTGTGAATTTCGGGAATTTGAATACGAAGGAGGTTGTTTGTGAGGTTGTGGAAGGAGATATTACCCAGTTGGTGATTCAGTTCCAGGATAAGCTTGGAAATGTGTGCGAGGGAAACACTCAACTCGGAGTTCTGAGGCGAGAATTGCCCAAACAGGTGTTGCATTTCTAGTTCATTTGCACCAATCGTTGCTTCATGGGTTCTAATTTATTAGTTAGTTACGTAAAATTTGTGGGTTTTGCATTGTTGATTGCCTATTTTTCTTGGAAAGTGTTGATTTTAGCCAAAAAGTTAACAAGTTACCTTTAAAAAAGCCAGAAAGCTAAAAAGTTTTCAACTCATACACAAAAAAAAATCAAAGATTTCTTTTCATTAACTCTACAAAAGTTAAAAATTCATTCCCATTCACTACTGGTTGCACGTTTTTCTACAAAAAGCCATAAAATCCATCCTAACATGTTGATTTGTTTTTAATCTTTTCCCTCCCAAACACACATTATGTGTACTAACTCGGCATTATTTTTTATATTTTAGTTAAAAAAGCCACTTTCCAAACGGTGTGTTTGATTGGAGGATTTGAGTAGAAATTTAGAAAAGAAAATGGAAAAGACAGGTAAAATGTAAATACATTTCACCTAGTTTTACATATCTTTTCCCTTTTCAAATCCCTCTCCAAATCCCACAACCAAACACAGCGGTAATGATTCACTAGAATGAAGGCTTTAATAGAATTGTCATTTAGTCGAAATATCTATTCTTATGTTTGGTTTGGTAGAAAGGAAATAAAAGCACATTTCAAATAGAATCACAGTTCACCAATTTAGAAGAATGGCTATTTAATTAGGAGACCAAGGAAGAATCATTTCATTCCTGCCCAAAATAATTCCAGGTACCAAACACTTGCTTTGCAAGTACTTTATTTTGATATCTTGGAATTAACTTTCATTTTGTGATTTGATTAGTTTGGCCTTTTTAGTTATCTATGTAGACTTGCTTGTTCTTCCTTTTCAGTCATAGATTAAAGATCAATGCCTTTTTCTACATTAAATTATCTATTTAGGTCTATTGGGTGATTGTTTACTTGGTTGCTACTCGCGTATTCTGTTTGCAGCTCCGACAAGGGCGTGTTTTCAACATAGAAGCAGGGAAACAAGCTCTGAGGAACATAAACTCGCTAGCTTTGTTTTCGAATATTGAAGTTAATCCACGACCTGATGAGAAGAACGAGGGAGGGATTATTGTGGAGATAAAGCTTAAAGAACTAGAACAAAAGTCGGCTGAAGTCAGTACAGAGTGGAGTATCGTCCCTGGACGTGGAGGACGTCCTGCGCTGGTATATAAGTTAAATTGTTAATTTTAATTTCTGCCTAACATTGTATATCGGGGTTTAACGTTATTGTTCTAACTCATTACTATTACCTTTATATACAATGTTGTTCAGGCTTCTATTCAGCCTGGTGGAACTGTTTCCTTTGAGCATCGGAATCTCAACGGGTTAAACAGATCCATTCTTGGTTCAGTGACTACTAGCAACTTTCTCAATCCTCAGGTAATTTTTATTTGACATTTTAATTTGTTTGATGTACTTAGTTTAATTGTGTACTGTTAATTTTTCGAGATTTTGTGTCCTAACAATGTGGCAATTCTTTCTGCAGGATGATCTTTCTTTTAAGCTCGAATATGTGCATCCATATTTAGATGGTGTATATAATCCTCGCAACCGCACCTTCCGTACAAGCATCTTTAACAGCAGGAAACTTAGTCCTGTCTTCACGGCTGGACCAGGAGTGGACGAAGTCCCCCCTATATGGGTTGATCGTGCTGGTGTGAAAGCCAATATTACAGAGGTAGACTGCATCGCTTCTCTTTTTGAAATGCCTTTCAGTCTCAATAGGTTATTTATTTTATATTATATCACAGTACACAACTGATATTTGCCTTGCAGAATTTCACTCGTCAAAGCAAATTCACTTATGGTCTTGTCATGGAAGAGATAACAACACGTGATGAAAGCAGTCACATTTCTCCAAGTGGTCAAAGGGTGTTGCCAAGTGGAGGAATTAGTGCAGATGGACCTCCAACTACACTCAGTGGCACTGGCATTGACCGGATGGCATTTGCTCAGGCAAATATTACACGTGATAACACCAAATTTGTTAATGGAGCAATAATTGGTGAGAGGAATGTGTTCCAGGTGAGTTGTTTAAGTTTATATCCTTCTTTTTTTATATGTGTCTATATCTCCTATTGGATGATTTAAGTTGGATGCCCTTTTCCTTCTGAATGTCCAAATTATATTCTGAATTCCTTGGTATAATTCAAGTAGTTATTTTTATGGCATAATTTCTTTTCAAAGGAGAGGAAATAAGTCACAGGGAGGCAAATGCCAAATTCAGGAAGCAAAAATGCAGAACAACCTACATAGATAAATGCACTGACCAATTTATAATGATCCATAATGAGAATGAATTCCTAAAACCATATCCTGTATATCATTTGAGTCTATTGTTCTCAGCTTTGGGTGGTTCAAAAAAACTCTCTATCTTTATGATGTAACCTTGAAATTGTACTTACATCTGATGAACGATCCTCTGAGTTACGGTTTAAAATAAGTTTTTGCTTTATGTGAATCTACTTAGAATAATTTCTTTTCTCCCTCGCACAATAGAAGACTTACAGTTGAACTTCCTAAAGTGTAGTTTCTTGTTTTTCAAGTTTTATCAGCTCTAGTGAGCTTATGAGGAATGTTGTTTGTGTGTTCTACACCCACTGGTTGTGTTCAGTGCATATTGTAATTTGAATATTTAGGCCTCGTTTGGCAACAGGCTGGTTTAGCCAAAAAGCCAAAAAGTTACTAAAAAAGCCAAAAAACCAACAACCCATAACAAAAAGTCAAAGATTCTCTTTTCTCTCTACTTTTTGTACATCTTTTTATAAAAAGTCAAAAAGTCATCCCAAACATACTAGTTTTTTTTAGCTCATGCTTTAGCCAAATAACCAAAAAGTTACTAAATTAGCCTATTCCCAAACGAGGCCTTAGAAACTAAATAGAAGTTTCAGTATAGGTAATGAATTTTGACCTAACTATTTGAAAAGCAGAATCTTTTTGTTTTACATCGTAAACAAAACTATTTTGTCTTCTAGTTCAGCAACCTTCATATGTAACAATGATTTACTTTACCTGCTTACTCCATGCTTTATGTGCAATTGCAGCTTGACCAAGGCCTTGGCATTGGTAGCAAGTTTCCATTTTTTAATCGCCACCAGCTAACATTGACCCGATTCATCCAACTAAAGCAAGTGGAGGAAGGTGCTGGTAAACCACCACCACCCGTGCTGGTCCTTCACGGCCATTATGGCGGCTGTGTGGGAGACCTCCCAAGTTATGATGCTTTTACACTTGGCGGGCCTTATTCAGTGAGGGGTTACAACATGGGCGAGATAGGTGCCGCTAGAAATATCCTTGAGGTAAGAAATACCAAAGATTTTTTTATTAAATGCATTTATTTTATAGTGTATAGGAAATAGAATCTTATAATATAGGCCCTTAGAGCATCTCTAATCCTTCGTAATTTTTTTATCAAATTCAAATTTAATGAAAAAATAGCTAAAAGTATGCTTTAACCATTACATCAAAAATAGGCCGTTAGAGCATATCTAATCCTTCGTCATTTTTTTATCAAATTCAAATTTAATGAAAAAATAGCTAAGAGTATGCTTTAACCATTTCATCAGATTGTATCAAATCAAGTGGGAGGCAATTTTTTACCAAATTAAGGATAAACCAAATCCTTCATCAAATTTCCAACAGTCAGATTTTTACTCAAATTTGATGAAATTTTAAGAAGAGTAAGGATTAGCAATGGTTTTCTTTCATCGGAAATGGTTAAACCGGGTTTTGGGATAAATTTAGAATTTTTCACAAAGATTTGATGAAAAAAATTTAGAATTGGAATTTTCTATATTTCACTCAAATTTGATGAGAAAAAAGCAGCAAAAGAGTACGGATTGGAGATGCTCTTATACGAGCTAATGGTCTTTATATTGATGTATGGTTGTGCTGATGATATTTGTATGTAATTTCTGATTCTAATGCTTTTTTGCAGCTTGCTGCTGAGTTGCGGATACCTGTGAGAAACACACATGTTTATGCGTTTGCGGAACATGGAAACGATTTAGGAAGTTCCAAGGATGTAAAGGGAAACCCAACTGAGGTCTATAGGAGAATGGGTCAAGGCTCCTCATATGGTGCTGGGGTCAAGCTAGGTCTAGTACGTGCAGAGTATGCTGTTGATCACAACTCAGGGACTGGTGCCATTTTCTTCAGATTTGGGGAGAGATTTTGAGGTAGTTAAAGTTCAGAAGTTTTGGTAGGTACATTCATCACATTTTGTGCTGGAAAATAATTTTTATAGCTAATTTAGATGTTTCGCAAGTTGAGTTTTGTAGAACTATAGTGTTTTAGTTTTATTGGGATTCATGCTTTTGGCGGTTTATTTTGTTTCTCACATTCCTCATCGTGTGAATTGAATTCACCAAGAAAGTTGTATTGTTGTTATGATGAATGATCCAAGTGTGGGTTTTTTCCCCCTTCTCATGGCTTTATTATTCTGTCTTTTTTTTTTTTTGAAATGTGACATGTTCCCCCTCGTTGTATAGTTGATATTTGAGGTCTAAATGGAGAATATTTTCACGAAGTTTGAGAAAGGTAAGATCTATATACAGTTTCACTATTATTTTTTATGAGGGTGATTTTGTACCTTGAACCTACTATTTATGCTGCAAGAAGTATCATATGTTCGAGGAACACCCTCCATGTGGAGTCCCGGCCAATGGCAAGGGGCCATGTTGCCATCTTGTCCCTTCTCTCATGACTCTTATTATTGAGCGGGTAATGTTCGTGTGGTGTTTTGAGGACACTATTTTGCTCTGTTGGGAATGGCAAAAGGATTTTGTCTCATTTCTCTCGTTCACAATTCACTCAACCACAGGATCGTAGAGATAAGGTTTGAGATAGGGGGAAATGGGTTATAGATGATTCAATGCTGTTCTTTTGCCTCAGATTTGCTGCCTATAGCAAGGCATCCTATTCATACTAAAGCAATCAAACTAGAGGTCATCAACCAGGGGCTCTTGGATGATATATGCCAAATTTGATAGGGGGAGATTTCAAATGGATTGATGTCTTCAAAACAATCTGCCGCTACCATCTGTCCTGTAATCCTTTCTGTTTTCTTCAAGTTTATTTTCAGTCATCAACAACCAGCCTTCTATAACCATGCAAAAGGGAAAAAATAAAGTTCGTCAGGTTGGAGTTTGTCATTACACAATCATAAACCGGAAGCATAAAAGGCACTTTAAACAGTAGTCCATGAGACTCTTGCCATTGCAGGGTCTAAGGAACGTTATATGTATACAATTTTACTTCTGCAAGTATAGAGGTGGTTTCAGTGTTTTAAACTCGCAACAACGTGCAAAGGACCATTTGTGCAGTGAAAAATAAACAACCAAATCTCTAGTAGTCAACTATGCTCAAGATCCGGATTTGAATCCCGAGATTCCCTTTCCCTATCTTCCTCTCCCTCCTCCTCCCTCCCCTAATCAGGAAAGAATAAATAAATAAATAATCAAAACAGATTATCATATTACAATTACAAGGCACATGTAAACATTTGTATTCGTACCAGGCGGAAGAAAAGTAGGGTGTTCAACAACATACAATGCTGGGCAACAGATGTACAATCCCAATTCAAAAGGCCATATTACATGGCTTCTAATTCCACCCTCCTCGCCGACTGTAAGAGAGAAAAAATGACCCTTAAAAGAAACTAATCTACAATGAACTGTGATTATCATTCAAAATGCACTTCCTGTGATGAATATCAATCAGTAAGGGGCCTTTGTGGAAGTAGAGTTCAGGAATGGGATTCAAAATACCATCAATTCTTTCATTTCTTCACTCATCGAGCATAGGGGATGACTTGGGTCTCTCCCCAATCGCTATCTTCCAACAAACAAAAGATACAAAGGTGAATTTGGCTTCACAGACCCTATTGCTTTTTCAATTGAGCAAGAGTGGCTTTAATCTCATCAAAGTTTTCCTCAATGCTGCTCTCCTTGGCAGCTTCGCTTTGACTACCACTTCCTCATTTTCTCTGTTCTGTAACTTTTAAATGTATTGCCTTTGTCCTCCTCTTCGACCTCTGCATCAGTGATGTTCAGCCCTCTCTAAGAATTCAACAAATTCCTCCCCAATTTCCTGTCAACCACATTTCATTTGTTAAAATATATCTCATACTTTCCAACCCAAAAGATAAAAATAAACTAAAAATAAAAAAGACTAGGATTTGTTTCAGATAATTCTTGCACTTATTCTCAATGAAGTGTTGTTGTGTATAATTGGATCTCACCGCCAATCCCTCCCATAAGCTCTTCCGCTCTCCATGTGAAGCAGAACTTGCCTCCCAGTTCCTGAATTCTTCTTGAAGATCCCTAAAGAAGTCCTCCCAAAATGTGTGTAGTCTTCAACAAACATCAGGATGGTATTTGAAAGCGAGTTTCCGCTGAGCCTTCTTGATTTGATCGGGAGTTGCGCAAGGAGAAACCCCCAAAACTTCATACGGAGACTCTTCACGACCACACAACAATCACTGCTGGTCTTCTTCTTCTTCTTTTTCTTCGGATTGAATCCATAGATAATTGTACAGATGGGAATTGAAGACTTTGTTTGGCTGTGCAGGTGAGTATAACATGAACCCAGATGAGAGATAGAGAAGAGTTTGATTGGTGTATAGCAAATTCATGCATGTTCATGAACTACTCCTTAATAATCTGTGTCTCGCAACCACAGAGAGACTCTCTCCATTAAGACATGTCATGATATGTGGTTGTGGGCAAATCTATCATGGAGGTGCTGAAATCAACCCGTGAGAAACTACCCATGATCATGACTTGACTAATTTTATTGAAATGGCCATGTTATTTGGTTTATATTTTTGTTTTATTTTTTGAAAAATAAAGAATTTTATATGGTTTAACTCTTTTTAGAAATTAGCTTCTTTTTTTTTTTTTTTAAATCCACATTTTAAGAAACACTAAAAACATATTTCAATTTCTAAAAAATTGTTTTCACACTATTATAAAAATAATAGATGTTTTTTAACTTTTTTATTTATTTTTTATTTTCAAAAGATCATATTGAGCTTAAAATATTAGTAGTTTTTTTTTTTTAACAAAAGTTATATTATTTACAGCAAGGATATATTCTAACTTGGGGAAGAGAGGAAATGAGACCAGAACCCCAAACCCGAGGTCTTGTAGAAGGAGCTCATACCAGTTGCACTACTACACCTTTTTGTCTCGAATCCGTTGAAGTTGAAAAGCGCAACTTGTTTGATATAGGGGTCATTTAGGAAGTTAGAAAAAAAAAAAAATAATTTTTAAACTTTCACTCATTTTGGATCCCCAATTTCCTGTCAACCACATTTCATTTGTTAAAATATATCTCATACTTTCCAACCCAAAAGATAAAAATAAACTAAAAATAAAAAAGACTAGGATTTGTTTCAGATAATTCTTGCACTTATTCTCAATGAAGTGTTGTTGTGTATAATTGGATCTCACCGCCAATCCCTCCCACAAACTCTTCCGCTCTCCATGTGAAGCAGAACTTGCCTCCCAGTTCCTGAATTCTTCTTGAAGATCCCTAAAGAAGTCCTCCCAAAATGTGTGTAGTCTTCAACAAACATCAGGATGGTATTTGAAAGCGAGTTTCCGCTGAGCCTTCTTGATTTGATCGGGAGTTGCGCAAGGAGAAACCCCCAAAACTTCATACGGAGACTCTTCACGACCACACAACAATCACTGCTGGTCTTCTTTTTCTTCGGATTGAATCCATAGATAATTGTACAGATGGGAATTGAAGACTTTGTTTGGCTGTGCAGGTGAGTATAACATGAACCCAGATGAGAGATAAAGAAGAGTTTGATTGGTGTATAGCAAATTCATGCATGTTCATGAACTACTCCTTAATAATCTGTGTCTCGCAACCACAGAGAGACTCTCTCCATTAAGACATGTCATGATATGTGGTTGTGGGCAAATCTATCATGGAGGTGCTGAAATCAACCCGTGAGAAACTACCCATGATCATGACTTGACTAATTTTATTGAAATGGCCATGTTATTTGGTTTATATTTTCGTTTTATTTTTTTGAAAAATAAAGAATTTTATATGGTTTAACTCTTTTTAGAAATTAGCTTCTTTTTTTTTTTAAATCCACATTTTAAGAAACACTAAAAACATATTTCAATTTCTAAAAAATTGTTTTCACACTATTATAAAAATAATAGATGTTTTTTAACTTTTTTATTTATTTTTTATTTTCAAAAGATCATATTGAGCTTAAAATATTAGTAGTTTTTTTTTTTTAACAAAAGTTATATTATTTACAGCAAGGATATATTCTAACTTGGGGAAGAGAGGAAATGAGACCAGAACCCCAAACCCGAGGTCTTGTAGAAGGAGCTCATACCACTTGCACTACTACACCTTTTTGTCTCGAATCCGTTGAAGTTGAAAAGCGCAACTTGTTTGATATAGGGGTCATTTAGGAAGTTAAAAAAAAAATTTAATTTTTAATTTTTCACTCATTTTGAATCACATCACGAGAAATTCTATAGTTAGCTTATGGCACACTTAATGAAATATTAATTTAATGATAATTATATCCTATATAAAAATGATCATAATAGACATCCAGCAACATCCATAATATTATATGAAAAAATTCTTTGTACATATCTTTTAAGAATTAAAAAACTCAATATACACTTTTGAGTTAAAAAAAAAAAAAAAACCCTAGTTTTTCTATTGTTGTCACATTGATGAAAGAGATTGCATTTTTTTTTTGGTTTAGAGATTCAATTGAAATTAACTAAGAAGATTGAAGGACTGTGTTAAGGATTGTTAACTAGCGAAGCACAGCCCTTAAAAAAATAGTGAACGTGCTCTTTTGTTTATAATTGAAGAACTGGGTTGAGGCACTAAAATTAATTAAGAGATTGAAGAACGGGATTGAAGATTATTATTATTATTATCATCATCATCATCATTTAAGAAGTGAGGTTTTCCAATAGAGGATGGGGTCAACTCGACCCAGGATTGAAGGCGAAAGTGTCGGGCTAAATTTTTGAGAATGAGAATCATTGTTGTTAGAGAGTGAATGGGACGATGATATGATACATACAATATGAATGATTTGCACTCATTGATTCCTTGAAATCAACACTTGATTAATTCTCCAATCAATGGTAAGTGTGAAGAAACCAAACTAAATAAATACTCCAAAAAAAAAAGAAGCTAAGATAGAGTACTCCCATAGTGTTTTCTTTACTTATATGGATCTAGGGTTTTGGGTTTGGTCGATTCCTCATATATGTTCAATGTCTACTCAGGGTTAATTTATTTTAATTTATTTAATTTTATCTCTTGGCATACCTCTTTGGTTTATGATTGAAGAACTAGGTAGAGGAACAAAAATTAATTAAGAAGATCGAAGAACTAGGTTAAGATTTTATTTTTATTTTTATTTTTTTTTCTTCTTTGAGAATGGAGGTCTTCAATGGAGAAAAATTCTTTATTGTGGATTTTTACTTTGTTGTAGTACTGTGAGTCTACAAATTTTCAAACCGTAGTAGTAGTAGTGCATGTGAAAGGAGAGACAAGTGTGTGGAAGGAGAGTTGAAGGGGTGTGTGTACAATAAAATGAGTGAAAGGTAATTAATACATTTACTGTGTGGATTGAGAAAACTAATTAATAATTAAATTATAAAGTGTGTATACTGAGAAATGATTTGAATGGAGATATTTAAATGTATGGAAATAGAATTTCTCTCACATCACCTCTCATATTTTTTACTTACAAAAAGACAAAATAGACTAAAAAAAGTTAAAAAACTAACTTTTTACCAACTTTCCAAAACACCGCATAATTTCTCAACCCTCTTTCTTGAACCATTGTCTGTAATTTCAGTGTGGGAAAGAAACTCGATATACTCAGATGTATTTGGGGTTCACACTAATGGTGATGAGCAAACAACGATCTTGTTTGAGCAAACAATCGATAACATTCAGTTTATGCTTCATGTCGTGATGAACAAATATCGATTAGCTAAACCATTTCACACAATCACAACATTATTTTGCAGTAATGCTTTCGGCTATAAGAAAAGCCACTGCGTGAAAGCAAAAAAAAAAAAAAAAAATATTAAAACATATATAAATATAAAAGGCAATCCAATGCACAAGGTTTTTATCATTCTCAATTCATATAGCCTTGATAAATTTCTAGGGAAGCACTACTATAAAGATCTCTGTTCAGGAAAAAATATACAATGCTAAGGAAAAACAATGAACAGTCCAAAAGAAAGAGGCTCAACAGATTGGAATGTAGCCTTTACAAAAAAGTTCTAAATTCTTTCCCAAAATTTCTCAATAATATCATGAATAGAGATCCATATTCATATAAACGAGCTAACTTACGGGGCTAAAAGAAGTAAATGCAACAAATAATTACAAAATGAATTGATTTCAAGCTTCTGGAAACATGGGGAATAGAATCTTTTTACGAAGGAAAATCTGTGGAAAGGGAATCGAAGGCATCAAAAATACCAAGAGCAGGCAAGAACTGCTGCAACTTTTGCTTAGATTTCATATGACTTTTGCTTTACTGCTGAAACACAAGAAGTCCAATACATGAATTAATACTCAAAAGACTAACATGATGTTCAACAACTTGATGAGATCTAGTATACCAGAAAGAATACTTAAATGAAGATTTTCATATGGAGGCCAAACTTTGAATAGATAATGCAAATAACTGGAAAAAAAAATAAATAAATAAATAAAAACCAACTAACTAACATTCAGTTTCATGGAAAGCAGGAAAAGAAATCTCGTTATAGAAAGGGAACCAAGGAGGGATGAACACATCCAACAACTGCAGATTAATTTTCGGCTTTGTTTTCAATTGACTTTTGCTTTGTTACTGAAAAACACGTTTTAATACAGTCATTAATACAAGAAGGAACACCGTTTATTAAACAAAAACGGTTCAAGAATATACTTATGACTTGCTGTCCTTGCAAAGACCCATAATAGTACACCAGCTTGTGCTTGTGCCTTTGCCTGATTTATATATTAATGCCAAATGATACTGGATAAGTCAGATTATCTCCAATATTTCCCAACTCTGCTCGTGTCTGGCAGGTCCAGGATTTTACCAATTAAGCAACAATAGAAGTTGAGTTCCCCAAATTAAGCTTGTACCAAGTTTCTCAATCCTTTGAATCTACAACAAAACATATATAAATTTAATCTGAAATTCATACGCAAACCCAGGGTACATAATAAACTAAAAAGCAACAAGAGAAACCTTCATTTCTGCATGAAACTACCGTACAAGTCGCACTCAATCTCTTGATAATAATAAGTTTTCCTTCATTTATTTCACCTTGCATACACTTTATTCTCCTTGTTTTCCTAATATCGCTCGAGGGTGTCTACATATACCCCTAGCAAATTTAAGTACAGATTGTTTTACATCACATTAACCATTTTCAGTTTCTAGTGTAAGACCATTGAGAAAATTTAGCCATTACCACAACTGACGATATTTTTCGAACTTCACATTTCATAAAACACAAACCATTTCAAATGTTGGCTGACATTAGAAATGATATGTGTTCGTCACTGATGGATATCCATCTGTTAGCAATATAATCTCCATCCCAAACATGCACCAAACATTAAGGTTTTGTTAGGTTCATGGATTTGAAAATGGAAAGGAGAAAAATGTGTGAAATGTAGATGAAATATAGCTATATTCCATTCACATTTCACCTATCTTTTTCCATTTCCCTTTCCAAATCCTTACCTAAATCTATTAACCGAACACAACATAAATGATGCTAGCTTCCAAACGACATATTTGTTTTGTTGGATGTTTGTTTACATGAGACTATTAGTCTAGGGAAGAATAATATTCATGAGGTTATCAATCCGTTAGGATTATGTATCATATCTCACATTTGGAATACCCTTGGATTGGGAGGAGGATTTGTAGAATCCTATCATATCCCATATTTGTTTGAAATCACTAGACATGGACTACATGGTGCAATGATCATAGCTTGAAAATATTTTGATCTTGTAACTGTTACATGGTCTTGGGTAAAACTCCACCCCAAAAAGTAGCTTCTGAGATGAGAATGCCCTCACGCTTATATACTCACATTACTTTAGTACGCAAGTGATGTGAGACTTTGTTTCATATTAACCCCCTAATCTGAACACCCCTTAATCCCTCTACTTTGTATATGGGACTCAATAGTCCCCAACATGTATCCAAACATGAAATTTGAAATTGACCACGATACATGGTCCGATCCCATGACCTAAACTCCCTAAACAAAACCAAAAAGGTTTGATTGTATATATATATATATATATTCTCTTATCTATTCCATTGGGATAAATTCGTGAAATTCATAAATTTGTTTTTATGTTTTTTAATTTCACTAGGGTCACTTTGTAAAGGCCCAAAAATTTCAGATAAAAATCAACAAATACTTTAATGAAATCTCAACATTCAATGGTGTCACCTAACACACTGTGGCTCCACACTTGTAATAGTGAAAGAGGGTGATAGTGATGAGTTCTATGATAAGTCGAAGGGTATGAGATGGTTGAGATGCCCAATGCGTACATGGAGGCATCCTTACATAGGGCAGTCGAACCATAAGAACAGGTATATTCGATTAATTTGCACCTTAAGTTTAGATCTCAGGGAATGTATCATAAGTTGGCAGCGGGTAGTTATGAGATGCCCCTCCAAAGGGTGTCATAGGAGCTTAGTGTTAGATATGATTCGGCTTTCGAGGTGTCACACATCCTTGATTAGTGCTCCTCTCTCTCTAAAATTGGACTGAGCACACTCACCTCAAGAAACAGGTTGGCAAGGCACCTAGACGAACCCCTGGACTCTACCCTCCAAACCAGACTTCCTCTGGTGATCCAGAACAGGTATCTAGGTCCTAGTCAGTCAAGGTAGCAATGACGAAGTGATTCGAACGAGAGGTTGAAGCACCGCTTAGTGCAGCTGCTAGTCAGGCAAACAGACCCAGACGGGTACTACTGACGCAGGGGAATAAATCACACGAGATTAGATATCGTTCTAGTAGACGAGAATTTTTGAATCCACAAGAACACCCTTGAATCCATAAGGAAGATAGAAGAAAAGCTCTTTAAAAATATTATTGAATGAATCAATTACATATGCTTGTAGGCTTATTTATAATAAACTAAACCTAATACTTGTAGGAAAGTTGAATAAACTAAACCTAATACTTGTAGGAAAAGTGATTCCAAAATAAATTAGGAAACTTAAATCAACACAAATTAAGAAGCCTAAGAGAACTAGGAAACCTAAGAGACTAAAAATTCTAAACTATGTAAAATCCTAGCCAAAAACCTAATTCTACATAAAATTAAGAAATATAAAAAATTATAGAATTTTGTTCTACATCTTTCTTGCCTTTTGTCGGTCCAATTGTTCCAAGAAGTCTTCGGCTACTTGTTCTACATCAGTACTTGACGCAGCGGAATAAATCACACGAGACTAGATATCATTCTAGTAGACGAGAATTCTTAAATCCACAAGAACACCCTTGAATCCACAAGGAAGATAGAAGAAAAGCTCTTTAAAAATATTATTGAATGAATCAATTGCATATGCTTATAGGCTTATTTATAATAAACTAAACCTAATACTTGTAGGAAAAGTGAATAAACTAAACCTAATACTTGTAGGAAAAGTGATTCCAAAATAAACTAGGAAACTTAAATCAACAAAATTAAGAAACCTAAGAGAACTAGGAAATCTAAGAGACTAAAAATTCTAAACTATTTAAAATCCTAGCCAAAAACCTAATTCTAAATAAAATTAAGAAATACAAAAATTATAGAATTTTGTTCTACATCTTTCTTGCCTTTTGTCGGTCCAATTGTTCCAAGAAGTCTTCGGCTACTTGTTCTACATCAGTCCCTTCTTCTTGGAGAGAACTCGACCTCGAGTTCGATTTTGGATAGAGGGGTTCTTCTCCATGATACTCATATAAATCGGCTACATTAAAAGTCTTGGAAATCTTCATGTCATCTAGTAGCTCAATCACATAAGCATTGTCATTGATTTTCTTCAACACCCTATACGGACCATACTTGCGAGGCTTCAATTTGTTATATGTGCCGACTGGAAATCTGTCTTTGCGCAAAAACACCATTACTGAATCTCCTTCCTTGAACAGTTTGGAGCGCCGATGGTTGTCTGCGGCTGCCTTATATTTGGTATTTGTTTCCTCCAGCTTCTGTCGTACTTCTTCTTGTACTGCTTGGGCTTGTTTGGCCATGGTTTCGGCGGCAGTACTCACTCCTGGACCCCGAGGCAAACCGAGCAAATCAACTGCATGTTTTGGAGGCGTGACATACACTAAAGAGAATGGTGACTTTCCTGTGGCACTGTGAACTGCGCTATTATATGCGAATTCTGCTTGAGGCAAAGCAAGATCCCATTGCTTTGGTTTGTCTCCGCAAATGCTGTGAACCAAATTGCCCAAAGTCCTATTAGTCATCTCTGTTTGACCATCTGTTTGAGGATGTGCAGTTGAACTACGATTCAAGGTTGTGTTAAATATCTTCCACAAAGTCACCCAAAAGTGGCTAAGGAACTTGACATCACGATCTGAGGTAATGGATTGGGGGACTCCATGCAAACGAACTACTTCTTGAAAGAATAATCGAGCCACATGAGAGGCGTCTGAAGTCTTTCGACAAGGAATAAAATGCGCCATCTTTGAAAACTTGTCAACCACTACGAACACAGAATCAACTCCACGTTGGGTACGAGGGAGTCCCAACACAAAGTCCATCAACAAGTCTTCCCAAATGCTGTTAGGAACATGTAGAGGTATATAGAGGCCAGTATTCTGAGACTGCCCTTTGGATATTTGACAAATGTAGCACTTCCTCACAAAATTGCCAACATCTCGCTTCAACTTAGGCCAGAAATATCGTTCTTCCATACTTGCGATAGTCTTGTCCCTGCCTAAATGTCCACTTAAGCCACTACCATGGAGATCCCGAATTAGTTTCTCTCGCAAAAAGCTACGGGGGATGCATAAGCGATTTCCTCGAAATAGATAGACATCAGTGATGTGAAAATCAGTGACTGGTTGCCTTTGAATACATTTTGCCCATATCTCCTTAAAGTCATCATCATTAGGGTAAAGTTCTTTCAGGAACTCAAACCCCACAATCTCATGTGTCAACGTGACTAATAAACTAGCCCGTCGACTCAAGGCATCCGCGACTCGATTCAAAACCCCTGATTTGTGGCGAATAGTAAAAGGAAATTTCTGAAGGAAAGTAGACCATCTTACATGCATGTTATCTAGGTGCTTTTGGCTGTTGTTAAACTTTAAGGCTTGATGATCAGTATATAACACAAACTCTCTCTGTATCAAGTAATGTTCCCAATGCTTCTAAGCTCGAACCACTGCATAAAATTCTTGGTCGTAAGTGCTCCACTTTTGCCGAGCTTCACTTAATTTTTCACTGAAAAAGGCTACTGGTTTATGTTCTTGAGATAGGACAGCCCCAATGCCCACACCACTGGCATCACATTCTACCTCAAAAACCTTCTCAAAACTGGGCAAAGCTAGCACTGGTGCAGTGCACAACTTCTCTTTGATCAACAAGAAGCTCTCTTCTGCATCATCACCCCACAGGAATTTTCCTTTCTTCATGCACTCTGTTATTGGTGCTATAATAGTGCTGAAACTTCGAATGAAACACCTATAAAACGTAGCCAATCCATGGAAACTCCGAACATCACTAATAGTCTTGGGTGTTGGCCACTCTTGGATGGCTCGAACTTTCTCTTGATCCACATGAAAGCCATCTGAACTAACCACATAACCCAAGAACAGCAAACTACTTGTAAGGAAACTGCACTTCTTAAGGTTAACGTACAACTTGCTTACCTCCAATGCTGTCAACACCTCTCGTAAATGGGCCATGTGATCCTCCTTTGATTTACTGTAGATTAATATGTCATCAAAATAAACCACGACAAATTTCCCAGTGAAAGGTGGTAATACCTGATGCATAACTCGCATGAAGGTGCTGGGAGCATTAGAAAGGCCGAATGGCATAACCAACCATTCATACAAACCATCCTTAGTCTTGAATGCTGTTTTCCATTCATCCCCAAGACGGATTCGAATTTGATGGTAC